AAAAAATTATTTTATGTTCAAGATTTCGTCAAGGCGAAAGTTATAAATTTTTTTCGAATTTTTTTTGCAATTTTCGGGAAAAAAACTTTTTTTGAAGGGGCTTATGTCCGCGTACCGTCTTCTAATGTTTTTTTCGTACTTTCTTGGAGTAAGGGGAAGCTAAAAAAAAATAATTCATATTTTATTTTTCGTCAAGGCGAAAGTTATGAATTTTTTTCGAATTTTTTTTGCAATTTTCCGGAAAAAAACATTTTTTGAAGGGGTTGATGTCCGCGTACCGTCTTCTTATATTTTTTTCGTACTTTATAGGAGTAAGTGGAAGCTAAAAAAAATTATTTTATGTTCAAGATTTCGTCAAGGCGAAAGTTATAAATTTATTTAGAATTTTTTTTGCCATTTTCCGGAAAAAAACTTTTTTTGAAGGGGCTTATGTCCGCGTACCGTCTTCTAATGTTTTTTTTTCGCCATTGACATGAAAAAGTGTCTTTTTTGTGCCTGTTTTGGGCAGATAAAGTAGCACTTTTTAAGGCAGTTTGGGCCAACTGCCTAAAAAAGACTTTTTTAGGCAGCAAACTGCCGTATAAAGTCTTTTTTAGGCAGTAAACTGCCCTATAAAGTCTTTTTTAGGCAGTTGTTAATTTTTGCATAATTTTTTTTTTTGCTTTTATTTTATTTATCAATTTTTATTATTTTTTTTCTTTAAAATTGTTTCACTTTTTCATAACAATGGCGAAAAAAATAGCGTATGTGGCTCGCACGTAGTAATTTTTAGGTTCGGATGATTTCAATACTCGCTGTCTGTGCGACTTCGGTTCGACTCGGCTCGCTTTCGGCTCGACTCGACTCGCCTTCGGCTCGTCTTCATCTCACCTACAGCTCGCCTTCGTCTCACCTACGTCGCACTAACGACAGCTCGTACTGAAAATTACATCCTCACCTAAAAAGTACTACTTTACGTGCTTGCCACATAATATACTATTTCGTACTTTCTAGGAGTAAGGGGAAGCTAAAAAAAATAATTCATATTTTATTTTTCGTCAAGGCGAAAGTTATGAATTTTTTTCGAATTTTTTTTGCAATTTTCCGGAAAAAAACATTTTTTGAAGTGGTTGATGTCCGCGTACCGTCTTCTAATGTTTTTTTCGTACTTTGTAGGAGTAAGTGGAAGCTAAAAAAAATTATTTTATGTTTTAGATTTCGTCAAGGCGAAAGTTATGAATTTTTTTCGAATTTTTTTTGCAATTTTCCGGAAAAAAACATTTTTTGAAGGGGTTGATGTCCGCGTACCGTCTTCTAATGTTTTTTTCGTACTTTGTAGGAGTAAGTGGAAGCTAAAAAAAATTATTTTATGTTTTAGATTTCGTCAAGGCGAAAGTTATGAATTTTTTTCGAATTTTTTTTGCAATTTTCCGGAAAAAAACATTTTTTGAAGGGGTTGATGTCCGCGTACCGTCTTCTAATGTTTTTTTCGTACTTTGTAGGAATAAGTGGAAGCTAAAAAAAATTATTTTATGTTTTAGATTTCGTCAAGGCGAAAGTTATGAATTTTTTTCGAATTTTTTTTGCAATTTTCCGGAAAAAAACATTTTTTGAAGGGGTTGATGTCCGCGTACCGTCTTCTAATGTTTTTTTCGCACTTTGTAGGAATAAGTGGAAGCTAAAAAAAATTATTTTATGTTTTAGATTTCGTCAAGGCGAAAGTTATGAATTTTTTTCGAATTTTTTTTGCAATTTTCCGGAAAAAAACTTTTTTTGAAGGGGCTTATGTCCGCGTACCGTCTTCTAATGTATTTTTCGTACTTTCTAGGAGTAAGGGGAAGCTAAAAAAAATTATTTTATGTTCAAGATTTCGTCAAGGCGAAAGTTATGAATTTTTTTCGAATTTTTTTTGCAATTTTCCGGAAAAAAACATTTTTTGAAGGGGTTGATGTCCGCGTACCGTCTTCTAATGTTTTTTTCGTACTTTGTAGGAATAAGTGGAAGCTAAAAAAAATTATTTTATGTTTTAGATTTCGTCAAGGCGAAAGTTATGAATTTTTTTCGAATTTTTTTTGCAATTTTCCGGAAAAAAACATTTTTTGAAGGGGTTGATGTCCGCGTACCGTCTTCTAATGTTTTTTTCGTACTTCGTAGGAGTAAGTGGAAGCTAAAAAAAATTATTTTATGTTCAAGATTTCGTCAAGGCGAAAGTTATGAATTTTTTTAGAATTTTTTTTGCCATTTTCCGGAAAAAAACATTTTTTGAAGTGGTTGATGTCCGCGTACCGTCTTCTAATGTTTTTTTCGTACTTTGTAGGAGTAAGTGGAAGCTAAAAAAAATTATTTTATGTTCAAGATTTCGTCAAGGCGAAAGTTATGAATTTTTTTAGAATTTTTTTTGCCATTTTCCGGAAAAAAACTTTTTTTGAAGGGGTTGATGTCCGCGTACCGTCTTCTAATGTTTTTTTCGTACTTTGTAGGAGTAAGTGGAAGCTAAAAAAAATTATTTTATGTTTTAGATTTCGTCAAGGCGAAAGTTATGAATTTTTTTCGAATTTTTTTTGCAATTTTCCGGAAAAAAACATTTTTTGAAGGGGTTGATGTCCGCGTACCGTCTTCTTATATTTTTTTCGTACTTTATAGGAGTAAGGGGAAGCTAAAAAAAAATAATTCATATTTTATTTTTCGTCAAGGCGAAAGTTATGAATTTTTTTCGAATTTTTTTTGCAATTTTCCGGAAAAAAACATTTTTTGAAGGGGTTGATGTCCGCGTACCGTCTTCTAATGTTTTTTTCGTACTTTGTAGGAGTAAGTGGAAGCTAAAAAAAATTATTTTATGTTTTAGATTTCGTCAAGGCGAAAGTTATGAATTTTTTTCGAATTTTTTTTGCAATTTTCCGGAAAAAAACATTTTTTGAAGTGGTTGATGTCCGCGTACCGTCTTCTAATGTTTTTTTCGTACTTTGTAGAAGTAAGTGGAAGCTAAAAAAAATTATTTTATGTTTTAGATTTCGTCAAGGCGAAAGTTATGAATTTTTTTCGAATTTTTTTTGCAATTTTCCGGAAAAAAACATTTTTTGAAGGGGTTGATGTCCGCGTACCGTCTTCTAATGTTTTTTTTGTACTTTGTAGGAGTAAGTGGAAGCTAAAAAAAATTATTTTATGTTTTAGATTTCGTCAAGGCGAAAGTTATGAATTTTTTTCGAATTTTTTTTGCAATTTTCCGGAAAAAAACATTTTTTGAAGGGGTTGATGTCCGCGTACCGTCTTCTAATGTTTTTTTCGTACTTTGTAGGAATAAGTGGAAGCTAAAAAAAATTATTTTATGTTTTAGATTTCGTCAAGGCGAAAGTTATGAATTTTTTTCGAATTTTTTTTGCAATTTTCCGGAAAAAAACATTTTTTGAAGGGGTTGATGTCCGCGTACCGTCTTCTAATGTTTTTTTCGCACTTTGTAGGAGTAAGTGGAAGCTAAAAAAAATTATTTTATGTTTTAGATTTCGTCAAGGCGAAAGTTATGAATTTTTTTCGAATTTTTTTTGCAATTTTCCGGAAAAAAACATTTTTTGAAGGGGTTGATGTCCGCGTACCGTCTTCTTATATTTTTTTCGTACTTTATAGGAGTAAGGGGAAGCTAAAAAAAAATAATTCATATTTTATTTTTCGTCAAGGAGAAAGTTATGAATTTTTTTCGAATTTTTTTTGCAATTTTCCGGAAAAAAACATTTTTTGAAGGGGTTGATGTCCGCGTACCGTCTTCTAATGTTTTTTTCGTACTTCGTAGGAGTAAGTGGAAGCTAAAAAAAATTATTTTATGTTTTAGATTTCGTCAAGGCAAAAGTTATGAATTTTTTTCGAATTTTTTTTGCAATTTTCCGGAAAAAAACATTTTTTGAAGGGGTTGATGTCCGCGTACCGTCTTCTAATGTTTTTTTCGTACTTTGTAGGAGTAAGTGGAAGCTAAAAAAAATTATTTTATGTTTTAGATTTCGTCAAGGCGAAAGTTATGAATTTTTTTCGAATTTTTTTTGCAATTTTCCGGAAAAAAACATTTTTTGAAGTGGTTGATGTCCGCGTACCGTCTTCTAATGTTTTTTTCGTACTTTGTAGGAATAAGTGGAAGCTAAAAAAAATTATTTTATGTTTTAGATTTCGTCAAGGCGAAAGTTATGAATTTTTTTCGAATTTTTTTTGCAATTTTCCGGAAAAAAACATTTTTTGAAGTGGTTGATGTCCGCGTACCGTCTTCTAATGTTTTTTTCGTACTTTGTAGGAATAAGTGGAAGCTAAAAAAAATTATTTTATGTTTTAGATTTCGTCAAGGCGAAAGTTATGAATTTTTTTCGAATTTTTTTTGCAATTTTCGGGAAAAAAACATTTTTTGAGTTGTCGTATTTTTTATATTTTTGAAATTCTCAATTTTAGTTTATTTTGTATGACAGAAGATTATTTTTGTTTTTTTATTATTATTATAATTATTATTATTATTATTATTATTTTTATTAATCATATATTTCTGTTCAGTGTTTGATGACGTGGTTTGAATGTTTTTGATTTTAATTCTTTTGTTTTCAAATTATAACCTAAGGATTTGCGTAACTTGCGCAAGTACTGTCAAACTGTTTGATATGTTTCATTCATTTGTTTAAAAGTTCTTACCAACATAAATTTTTTCAAAAATTAACTTGAAGTTGATAACTGGGTGCCAGTTTCAGTTTCATTGTCTTGCTTAAAGGTTTACGACATAGTGGATAAAAGCATCACTTAACTTTTTCGATTGAAATTTATATCACAGAAATTCTTTTACTTTTACGTGTTGAACGATTTCTTTTTTCTGATATATTTCGATACAGAAATTCCTATTTAGATTAATATACAGTTATTGGTAATTTTAAACATAATTTGAAATTCGACCCAATTAATTGATATTGTCATAAAATGACGGAAAATTCATATATAGTTGTTTACCTAAACTTGGGAAAGTTTGACAAGGCGTCTAACTGTCGCGTGACTCATTTCAGGCGGCGGTTTGGCGAGACCGAAGATGACTCTGAATTTGGATGGCAGTGGAAATGGGGTCGGAAACATCTTTGGAGTAGGAGAAATCAACCAGCTTGGATCAAAGAAACCCGGAGGATTAAGTCTTGGACTTCCTCTGGAGTTAACAGCATCAAGAGGTGCAGCCGATCTTGTTGATGTCGATCTTCCATTGGAGAGACAAGGGTCAGTATCAATTTTGAAAGGAAAAAAAAAATTATTTTTTTCTATTATTTTTAATTGATAATTTATTTTTTGCAGATGGTATCATGGATCTATAACTCGCATTGAAGCAGAAGCAGTACTTCGATTATTACGTGAGGGAAGTTATCTTGTAAGAAATAGCGAATCAACAAAACAAGATTATTCCTTGTCTTTAAAGTGAGTTTCATTCAAACTATTTTCTTTGCTATTTTATTCAATTATCGAGTTTTAGTTCGATGGCGTCCCGCCAACGCTAGCGCCACATAAATGAAATTCTAATTGCTAATAATTGTTTCAGGAGTGCTAGAGGATTTATGCATATGCGTATTCAACGACACGAGGATTTAAACGCCTTTATCCTTGGACAATTCAGCAAGCCATTTGATACAATACCGGAAATGGTTCGTCATTTCAGTGTGAACCGTCTTCCAATTCGTGGGGCTGAACACATGTGTCTTCTACATCCAGTAATTGCGCAACTTTTATAGCGCAACTATCGCAGCGCTCTTTAAAGGCGCTACTATTTAAAAAACAAAAATTTCCTTTCTTGTCAATGAACAATTCACCTTTCTAATATATTCGATAAAATTTATTGTTCTTGACAATATATTCACATTTCAAAAAAAATTAATTATTAATATAATAATTTAATTATTAAGATAATAATTAATTATTATATAAATATATTATAAGCATTGCTATAATTGTTATTTAAAAAAAAACAAACAAAGAACAGATTCGATGATAATTCAGGTTACCGAAATGTTGCCTGAACAATAGGACAATAATTTTAATCATTCGCAGCATGAGCAGATTAAACAAAGAATTGAATTTGTCAACGGTAGATTATATTGAAGGAAAAAGAAAATCGAAATAAATTTTTTGAAATTATTTTAGAAATATTACTCAAGATATTTTAAAAAGTTTTACTATATTTTCAATATAGGTTATAATATATACATAAATATATATATATATTCTAAATTTTTAATTTATTTTTTATCACTGATCTGCTCGCTCAGTTTTAACGATTTGTCGATTTTGAAATTTTATCTTTGCAAAATAAAATGATTATAGGAAAAATTTCAAAATTGACACTGTTGTTAATAAACAACCACACTTTATTGTCTTCCTTTGGCAAATAGAACGAAACAGCTACCTCCGAAAAATTTAGAATCGAGATAAATTTTTTCCCGATTATTCGAAGGTGGATTGGTTGTTTGTTTCAGTAGACGATTATTTTTTAAGGGCAGATAGATAAGTTGTAAATAAAATGTTAATCAGGGTGCGTGTAAGTTTTGAGAATGAAAATAAGAAACCCCTCCCGTTGTAGTAACGAGCCGAAGGAATGTAGAAATTTAGGTCCAAAATATTTAAAAAATTGAGAAAATTGTATCTTCAAAAAAAAAAAACTTTTCGGATTTGTTATCTAAAGAATATATTGAATAGTGAGGGATGAATTTTTGAAATTAAGGAAACAATTGGTTTTTTTTTAAAAAAGAGGAATTAGAGATACAGATGTGTATAAATTGCGATGAGAGAAATGCCAAATGCTACTTCTAATCATAATCATATATAGTCAAACACTTAAGGCGTCGTCGCTATAAAGTGATAGAATTACGTAAATTTAATCGATCGAGAGCTTCACTCTCAAGATTAGCATTTGGTTCGTGTTCCATTTGTCGATAAGCGAAATTGAAATTTAAAAAAATGATCCATTTATAAAATGAAATTCATCAATGTCCAATATCGATTTCGCTTAAATACAAATTATTTTGATGACTTCCTTTTATTAGGGATGAGTCATCCGTCCGAATGTTTGTAATAAAGAGGAGATTTCTCGAACGAGGGCAACTGATACATATTTTTTCATGTGATATTAATTTGTTACAGAGATAAAAGCCTAGTTTCACCTGTGATCTGTTATTCCATTATATAAATCCGTATCTGTTTGGTCAGTGCGCGTGCAATATCTGTATCCGTAATTAATTTTTAATGTTAAGTGCGAGAATATATAGAGAACGTCCGTGATGTAACAATAAAGAGAAATTCGCTTTTTTAAAAAAGTATAACTAAAGTAAGAGAAAATGTTAAATTTATCTTATGTATTTTTTTTGTTTTTGCACATGGCGCTCTCTTTATAATATTTGTTTGCGCATCAGTGAAAATATTTTGCTCATTTTGTTTTTAATTTCAAACGTTTATCCTTTTTTTTTTAAAGTTGTAATTAGAATTACTTTCTATTAAATTTTTTACACTAGAAAAAAATGGATGAACGTCACTGATGCTAGTTTGAATATATATTATATAGTATACACAAAACACACATTGTACTTTAAGCTGCCAGTATTATTAATTGTAATCGATAATGCATATCCGTGTTAAGAATTAAGACATTATATTGTCCCTATGAGCGATTATTGAAACTATAATAATCAATATATAACTTTATTTTACATTATATTTATTGAGACATGTCGTTAGTTTATGATCGTGAGGTTCTATATGTTGACTTAATCCTAAGATCGTAGAGTTTGTAGAGAGAATAAAAAAAAAAAATAGTTGGTAAAATGTAGTTGGTAGTAAATTTATAATATGGTGTCGTACGTTACATGGTAGAACTAATTTGACTAACTTGTAGATACTTCCCGTACCTTGAAATTTATATGAACTTATAGCCTGTAACTGGGATATATACGAATATAAATACGATAAATTTATAAATAATGAGTAAGCCTAGGGCCGCAGCCTTGGAGGGAATGTTTTGTTCTCGATTTAAAAAAAAAAAAAATACTGATAATGATAAATAACTGAACTGAGTATGTTCGATTATTAAAATCCCAACTTAAAATTTAAGCGGATCCTGACTCGTGGGATGTGCAATAATTAAGATCATGTGCGAGTGAATATTTTTATTGCTGCAGTAGGCCGCCAACGTTCCAAAAAGAAAACAACTACATTAGTTAGTATTATGTATACTGGGATTCCTTCTTATTAATAAAACATTTAATAATTCACTGTCAATCTTGTCTTTATTTATTATATAAATTATCAAAAAATTTATAGAAAATTAGTTATCATCCATAAGCTCTTCAAATTCGTCGTTGTCCTCCTCAAATGCAATTTGTGCAATGGATTTAGATTCTTCGAAGAAACTACCAACACCCATTGTTTTTGATAATGATTCTTGTTTGTCTTTCTCTTCTAATGGAGGTGAAGGTAGAAAAGATGGATATTCCTCCATTATCATCTTGATAAGGAGAAAATAAAATATATCTTATAATAAATTATGTTAATATAAAATTAAAAGAAACCTATTTTAGTAACAATCATCATTAAAAATACGAAATATTTTTTAAATATTTACCTCGTACTCTTCTTTTGAATGTTTATAAATTTCTTCACGTGATCCTACAGAAACTCGATCTACCAGTTCTTTTTCTTCTTCTTCTAAAATTTTTCATCAAAACTTTAATACTTCTTTTCTTACAATAAATCAATTTTAAACTATGTATGAAATAATTTTTCTAAAGGAGATAATTTAAAAGAAAACTTAAAATATGATACCAGATACATAGCTTCCTTTCTTTTCAATACTTTGTTGATTCGGCACTGGAACTAGATTTTCCTATTTGCAATAATAATGAGAATTAACAGAATCAGAATATTGCATTTTTTTTTTCATAAAAAGAGAAAATTAATATAAATTACTTTTAAAATTTGTTGAGAATTGCATTTATTATCACAAGGATCGCAAATTTTCTTCTCATTTTTATTAGGTTCACCAACCAATAATCGACTACGATATGTTTTACCATCGGATCCCTCAATAATACCAGCAGGAAGTTGAATAACTTGAGGACCCCATTGATTTAAAAAATGTCCATCTCTCATTATTTTTTGTTGTGGTGTTATAATTGTGTGACTACCACCACAATATCGATTACTAAAATGGCTTCATTAAAATGTTACAAAAATTATTCATTATTTTTTGTTGTCTAACTTCCTCCACAATATCGATTACCAAAATGGCTTTATTCAAATGTTTCAAAAATTAGTAATACTATAAATATTTTTTAAAAATAATGCTGTCCTTACTTTCCATTTTTCGGCAATGAAGAACCTTTAGATTTTCTTTCTTCTTTTAATGCAGCTTCTAAATAAAGCATATCTTTTCTTTGCGGTGGTAATTTTTTCGATTGTGTTCTAAGTTGTAATTTCTTAATTGAAGATAATGCAGTAACATACATTGGATTATTATCATGCATTCTCATTACTACATCTTTGTCACAGGATAAGCATTGCACATCTCTGAATAATTACAAATTATTTAATTTAATTACATATTATTGTAATTATTAAAAAAATAATTTAAATAGTAAATTAATTAAAATTTAAATTCAGTAAGTTTATATTTCAAAATTTAAGAACCTAAGCATCCTTTTAGTTGCTGCTGCTTCAGTTGGTTCTCTTATTTCAGAAAGAATTTTCAATTTTTCTTGCAGTCGTTGAAATTTATTATCAACTGATTCTTTGAAAGGGGAAATTTCTTGTTTATCAAGTTTGCCATCTATTTCTTTGTGTACTTCATCTAAAGCATGTTGCATTATTGATTCTTGTTGGTTTAATTTATCGAAAGCTTCTTCGAGTCCACGTGTGAGGTCATCACGTGTTACATCAAATTGATCATAGGACACCTTTCAAAATTGATAAATTTTGATAATTATTGATAAATAAATTAATAGATTCGATGATGAAATTAATTATTAACAATACCTTTCTGCTTACAGTCATGGTATCTGCTTTATTAGCTAAAGCATCCTCGAGATCTTCTTTATCAACTTTTACAACTTTTAGAATTTCAATTTGCTCTTGTAGAGTCTAAATCGTATTACAATTTCAAAGAGTAAAATTAAATTGAATCGAAACTAAAAAGAAATTTAGTATTAGATATTTACGTTTTTATTGACAGTGACATCATCTTTATCTTCTGCAATTTTATTCGTCTGAATCAATTTCTCCATTTCGTCTTCGATTTTTTGAATTTTAGTCTGAAGTTCATTTTTTTCTTTATCAGAATTAACTTCACTCACTGGTAAATTGTTAGCAATTTCTGAAAGGTGAGTTGTACTTTTTTCCAGATTATCAACTCTGGTACTTAATTCTTTCATAGCAGTTTCGATTGTTTCTACTTTTTGTACAGCTTCGAGGCACAATGCTAATTTTTCTACATTTGATTCTTTAGCAGCAATTGTAGAAGATCTTTGATTTACAGTTGTTTCTTTTTGTTCCGATTTCTTGTGTTTTAAATTTTCCTCCTCAAATTCAGATTTACTGTTTTGTTCTTTATGTTTAATGGAAGTAATACTTTTATTTTTAATTCCATCGGTTTCAGTAGTTGCTTCAATTTCTGTTTCTTCTTTACTTTCTACAATTCCCGATTTTATTTCTTCTGATCTCAGATTATCTACATAAAAAATATTAAAATTATCATATGTACTTATTTCATTATGTTTAGAGAAAGATTTTATAACAAAAAAGAAAATTAATATTTTTACGTTCTGATGTTTTTGTAAATTTTGATTTTAATTCTGCAATATCATTACGAACTTGATTTACATCATTTTTCAAACTATTAACATTAGCGAGAATTTCACTAAAATCATCTGTAACAATTAGAAAAAAAACATGAAATAGAAATTAAATTTATGTTTTAAATTTACAAAAATTTAACCTTTATTTTCAATTGAATCTTGTACAAGAGTATTTATTTCTTCAGTCGATTTATTTCTCTCTTCATATTCATTTGATATTTTCTCTGTGTTTTTAGAATTAGATTTTCGTTCAATAGAATTTGGCTCAGAGTTTTCAATATTCTGAGGAATTGAATTTTTTTCTTCAAAAAGACGTTTAATAGTTTCTTCCAAATTTGACATTCTTTGATCGATTTCGGTCAATTGTGTCGTAACATCAGATGATTCATTTTGTACTTCTATTTTATCACTTTTAATGATATCTTGCAACATTGATGTTAACTAGAATATTTTTTTTAAGTTCAAAGAAACTTGCATTAATTAACATGCGAGTAATTAAAAAGAATTAAAAAAAAATTAAAACGAAATAAGAAGAAATAAAAAGGAAGAAAAAAATATGTTTTTTTAAGGTATAAACTTTATAAAAAATGTTTTGGATATAAACTTTATTAATTCCTTGTTCACTGGCATCCAATCTCTTGTTGATATTAATAATTTGCCACATATCTTTTAGAGGATCGGTATTATTCCCTTTAACTTTATTTATTAATTCTGGATTTGTTGCTAATTCCTCAAGAAATTGAAATTGTTGTTGCAATTTTTGCACCTGCATTAATGAATTAATAAGAAAATATATGATAGCAAAATTATTAACAAAATTCAACGAAGATGATAAAACCTAGATAATGGATAAACAAAATTTGCTCTTATAATAAATGTGATAATTTACAGAATTTTCCAATTTCTTAAAACTCAGTGCAGTTGGAGTTGTTCCATCTACTATTGGCTCTACAAAAATAACAGACTCAAATTCTCCTTCCTTTTTTCCACTTATCTGTTGCTTTACACCTTTCACTTTCTTTTTTTCAATGTCCATTTCTAATAATAATAATAATTTTTAATCAAATATTAATATTAAAATATTTATTTGAAAAAATTAATTTTAATACCCTGTTTTGATCTAGTTTCTCTGGCACTCACAGAGCCTCTTGAAACTTTTGCATTTGCATCATCTGTTAGTAAAAAAAATAATTTTTCTTATAGATAAAAAAATTATTTCTTTTAAACATATTTTTATATTAGCTATGTACAATAATTATTATTTCATACGATTAGTATAAATATCAACATTCACTGTTAAATTCTCATCGCTGTGTATTCGTTGTTTTATTCTACCAGAACTGTCAGTAATACTATATTCGTGTAGATGTAAACTTGGTCCATCATTCAAGGAGGTAACCATTGTCTGTTAAATTAATTAAATTTAAAAAAAATTTTCATTTAAATTAATTTTTAATGTTTTTAATACAAATATTTTAATAATACCTTGATTCGATTTGCATCTTCACCTCTATATTCTACTTTTGTTGTTCTTAAATTAATTTGATGTAACACAACATGTAGAAAATTATGAAGAATATTAAAATTTACAGCTCCCACCTAGTATAGTGAAAACCACCTAAATGTCAATTTATTTTATACCCATTGTTAATTTTTTCAATATGTTTTAATATGAATTCAAATTGAAATTTCAATTTTAAATTTAAAAAAAAGTGTTTCAAAAACACATAAACAGAATACAATTTATTAAAATTTGTGATCATTGAACCTCAGGTGTTCCTAAAGCAAGATCCAACATTTGAGGTAATGAAACTTGAAGACTAGCTGCAGTATTTCCATTTGATATAGCAGTAGATTTTTCCCTTTGTGGATTAATACTTTTAGTCGACATTTTAATTTAATTGTTTTAAAAAATATGTTATTACATATTTTTTTCAAGTCACACAGATTCGACTATAATGGAATCACTAAAAATTTTACATATTATAACCAAGTCTCTGATGACATTTAATTCGATACGTTTTTGTTTTAGTGAAATAATTTTAAATTGTTGTACTTTCAGTTCGTTACGAGTTTTTAAAAATATTAGTCCTTTTAATTTGAATAAAAAATCGGCGGGAAATTTGTTTCTGAACATAATTTAAATTTTGTCGATTCCTGTATTATCGATAGCCAATTTAAATCATATTTTGGTCAGTAAGTTTCCAGTAGTACCGCACGGGTTAGTAAATTTACCAAAGTTTTGAGCATGATAACTTAGGAATTGTTTTTATCGCAGCGAATCTATGACCTGCATAAGGTATATTACCAACTGATCTCTGCAAATTGCACTGAATTGTCTATCGGTAATGAAGATAACTATTTTCAATATTTCACTTATCTTCAGTTAATTAGTAGGAAAGTTTCGTTAATTTTTTTTCCTTGTTTCTAATTATATATGCGACATTAAAAAGTACCACACAATTTAAAGTAAATTTTTGTTAGGAAGAATTCTGAGATTTTAAAAAAGAATACTTTTGTCAAAAGTTATTTTTTCACATAAATATTTCAAAGATTAACTTTCTTTAAAATCTATAATCATGATTATGGATATAAATTGGTTTAATCCACAAACATTTTGTAAAATAAAAATAATTTAATGAATTAAAAATTAATATTAAACCTTCAGTCCCTACTGTCTTAACATGTACGTTCTTTAAAAAAAATAAAAGAATTGTATTTTTGAAACATTGTTCAATGTGAATGGCAATAGGTGAGAAGACATAATGTCACCGTGAAGAGTCAACATTGTCGATATACGTCATTGTACAAGGTTTGACCTTTACATCGTAAACTGCGCGAGGTACGGAAGGTGATCAATAACCGTCAATATGCAGGACGAGGCTTTAATAAGAGTGTAAGCTGAAGATCCCAAGCCCAGTTTTACGACTTTGGGACACAGGACGTCACTTCGCCTCCTACTGCTGGGTCTTTATTACCAGTCTTCTCCGTTCCTCTTTCCCTTCTCACCACGCGAATTTATTATTTATAAAGTCGAACGAGCTTGCGCCTCCTTGGGCGAGTTAACTTTGGTGAGTACCATTTTACACCACCCGCCAAAGCACACTCGTCTATGTATATCTTTATACACATATACATATATAAATATATGTGTGTGTATATGTGCAAGAAAATCGAATCGTCAAGTTCTACGCTCTCAAGAGCTTCCATATGCGAACATGAAAAAAGTTTCTTCAGGGTGGCGATTGCTTTCTTCACTGATGGGACACTTGTGCGTCTTCAAAACAATAAAAAGAGAAAGTTTTTCTAAAAGTATATACATTTTCTTTTGAAAAATTAAATTTAATATTGCCACAGAATTCTAAAATTAAAGTTTTTTTTGTCATTTCTTCTTTAATTATATACACTGAAGAAAGGAACAAAGCAAATTAGGTTGTTTGAAGTGAAAACTTCCAAAATATTCAATAGTTTTAATTTTACAATAAAATTAAACTTTTAAGTCAAAAACTATCGTAAACATATAATTATACTTAAACTGCAGTTTGACTCTTTCTTCATAGAAATTATTGGTATAGCATCTGATATAAAAAATTGCCTTTTTTGTTTATTTAACCAAATTCATTTATTAATTTGATTTTTTCACATTTTGATAGAATTTTTTTTAGTTTTTTTTTGTTTATATATATGTATATCTATTTGAAGCTTATATAGAAATGACGTGATATTAGTTGTGACTTGCGATGCCTTAAGCCATTACTTTCACAAGGCTTTGAAAACAACTTTGACATCGATTATTATTCATATATCCTTTGCACATCAGACTAAACTCAACCGCCATTAACACCAAGGCTCTTTATTTATTTTCAATTAAATATTCTATATTATATATTTATATACATTGTAGAAAATACTTTTTAAAATACACTCTTTACTATATATGCACAAAATTCTATAGTAACATTTCGCTTAGAAAAGTTTTGTTTAAACCAGATATATACATAATCTATAATTTTTATGATTCTTAAGGTCCGCTTTCTTCATGTATTGTTCCATCAACAATTTTCTAGCAAAAAAAAAAAGTATTATTTTTTGCGAGAGATTTTTTTATTGCGAAAGATTTATTATAACAGCAATTTTAAACAGTCTGGAGATAGAATGGATTTCATATATATATATAGAAAATTAAAGACTGGCACGCCGGAAAAGGAATATATTGTTAATTTTGTATATCGTTTCTTAATCCCTGGGCCTTTTTTTTATTAGTTATATACGTGATATAGTAATATAACGACAGCTGTTGAATTCGCGCTCGGCATATCCGGCACGAAGAAAAATACAACTGAAGGATATATTGAAAAAAAAATACAGACGAGACGGGGCGCATGTATTTAATCGATAATCACCGGCAAGTGGTTTTGAGTAAAAGGGTATATATATAGTCGAGAGAGAGAATACATCTGCGGAGGTATCATCGCGGCCATGTACAAAAGGGCGATCCATCATCTTCGGACAATCCGAGTTCAAAATTGCTCAGCCGGTTCTCAGCCTCGTTTATAGTTTGCGCGCACGTGCGTTTATAATGGTATTAAAAATTAGTATAAACAAAATAATTTTTCTTTAGATTGTATATTTGTAGAGTCAAAATTGATAGAAATCTTGAGATATAAAATAAATAAACTCCATAGTATAGAATTTTTAGATTTTAAATTTCGTATTTTAATATTTTACTAATGAATTACTAAATTATTCAAAGTTTTCACTTCATATAACTGAATAAGTTTTTAAAATTCCAATGTGAAATAGTCACGTGACGCGAAGTTAGCGCTCCTAGTGTTCATTATCGGTAATACTAATCGAGGCTTATGTCAAATATGATACTTTCGTCGAATATTTTTGTGGTTAAAAAAGTCATTAATATTTATTAATATCATTCTTTTATTAGCGCAGTGTTCATTAATTTTGAATCAAATCGAAATATCAGTGTATAAGTAATGAATTAAATGTCAAAATTGGCAAATTTTGTTTATTTCATATAGTGATTTTTTGTCGCCCTTTCATAACCCGACAAATTATAATAAAACCTTATTAAAAAAAAATCTTATCCTCCAATCACACGTATATATATGTGTATACATCAGGGACTGGGAAAGTCTTTTCATCATATATTTTATCAGCGAGCTGGGATGCAAAATAATAGGTGAAAGGATTATGGTGCGTCAACGTGATGACTGAACGGCGCGGGTAATCGTCCGGTCGCTCTAATATTTCGAATAGTTCGCATTTACAATGGGCTTTATTGGTGGGAAAACTGAAGGGGGGTTATTTTATACAGGCCAGGACATCCATCACATGATGTCAACGTGATTGTCTTCAGGCGCGAACATTGCTGAAAAGATATTGTCAACTTGAAAACATTAATTGATCGCAATTTCCTGAAAATATCATTAATATCGCAGGTATGTGAATTATATTATTATTTTCATAGTTTGTAAAAATTTTGAATAATTAATTTTTTTTTTAAATTCTTGATTTGTTTAAAGTTTTTTTTTTGATTTGAAACAAGTGAGAGCGACAGCATTAAATCTGCTCGCGCATGAATTTATCCTTTAGCTTCGCCATTGTGTTGTATATATATTTAAATGAGCTTTCTAATGTATTTAGCCTGAATGCCGCGTGTGACGAAATTATATGTATATATACCCCTAGTGTCGTTAAAGACGCATTTTGTCACCCCACTTTCAAAACTCATGCGCATTTAATACTATATATATATACCATCATCAGAAGAAGAAGTATATCTCAATTTTCCAAGCACTGACTTCCTCATCAAACTTATTCAAAGTGTTTTATCATCTTGTAAATGTTTTACTTAATTCAATTTTAGTAAACCAATTTTTCATCATTCATTTTATTTTGTCTTAAAAAATTTTGAAATTTTTCCCGCTAAATATAAGAGAATTTTGTTACAGATTAAAATTATTTGAGTCTTATGAGATGAGTTACATCAAAGAGTAACTGCTTTTTGTTGTTGTCAATTTATGAATGTATAAACAAAATTTTATCATATATGAAACATGATTCGATCCTTGCTATGACACATTTTAAAAAGTGTTATTTAACTCAAAGTAAAATCTGCTTGATAAATTATAGTCAAAATGATCAGATTTTCTCAATTAATATCGTTCGATTGACCACACCGTTGAAAGGTATATGTGTCCTTGTCAGGGATATATTCACGTGAATGCCCTATAGCAACATTGCGACACAGGGGTGTCAGCACATAATCGAGTTGCACCCTCTCGGTTATCTGTTTTATTTATCCGATAACACGCCATTATGGGCATCGCGCGACTATATGCGCGGCCGTACCCATATAACGATTGGCTATTTATAATAACACGTGGCGTATCGGTAATTAGTTGCGCGTAAAAGCGCGTTGGAAAAATCAAGCTCTATATAAACTATATATATAAACACGTCGAAAAGAAAAACTAGCTACATTTTTTATCACACGCTTCAGTCTGCTTTTTGTTGTTTTCTTTATACATTGTATCACACAAATGCTTTTCAATATTTTATTTTATTTCAAAGAATTGAAAATAATTTTTTTTTTTTTTTTTTTGAATAAATTTTAATATAAATTATATATCAATAAAGAAAAAATAATATTGGCATATTTTTGTAATATTTAGTATATCTATTTTTTCTATAACGATGTAACATGACGAAAGATTGACGGATAATGTTAATCCATGTTGGATCGATGGTCTGAATTTAATTCGCTCTCGGCAAGTTAAAATCAAGACGTCTTTCTGGTACAGTGGGTATTTCGACACTTGACGCGATTATTGTATGAGCGCTCGAGACATGAAAAGGCTGCTTTTTCTATCTTTTTACTTTTTTTTATTGTTTTCTCTTTGTTAGGTAAAATGCAATAACCAAAATAATTTTGATGGAATGCGCGGTGTTGCTATATATATGTCCAAACTGTAAACGTATATATATATACATGACAGAATTTTGCCACCGAATAATAGTTATACGGATGCGGCCTCAGCAACAAAACTTCATTCAAAATGAATACAATACGCAACATATATGTAAATAACGCTTGCGGCCAACATGTTTAACAATTTCTAGAAAAATATTCCATTCTTTTCAAATATTAATAAAATAAGAAACAATAATGAAGGGATACATTATTTGTAATATTGTACATCATTAACAAAATATTAAATTAAAAGTAAAGGTTAAATAATACAATATACAGTATAAAATATATATTTTAATTTAATTTAAATTCTGAAAATAATTAAATGTTGTAAATTTATACTAATATACTAAACAAAAGAGATATATATGTGTATACAGGACAAGTGACTAGCTTGCAGTAGGAGCCATCCTTCATTAAGCACGAAGGAAAATGCAGTCATCGACATGCGTGTGGGTGGTCTCCACATGTAAAGGGCATTAGTTTACCCAAAGTCATCAGGAATTAATTCCACTAATTGGAAGTGGTTCTAAATAGCGCCGCGTGTATGTATATTAGCGTTACGAAGCAACTTAATTTATTTTCTATTCTTAACCTCTTAAAAATTCGTCACCATCACAAAAATATAATCTTAAATGCGCATATGCAACTTTTGAAGTCAAATCGTAATTTCAATCCTTTGACCAAATTGTAAAAAAACACTGTGGACTCTGACCACATCGTAAAAAGTATAAATACACTTTGACCAAATCTAAAAATGGATTCAAAAATACTTGAATCAAATCGTAAAAATTAATAAGATTAGTATATTTTGACAAAATCGTATAACCTTTTAAAATCAAATCGTACTTTAATAATATACTTTGACCAAATCGTAAAAAACTACAACCTAAATATTAACCACGTATTGTAAATCGTCTATCAGTTTCATGTATATTTTTAATGTATTCGCACTTGATTTGAAAATTTCAGATACCTTTTTGCGTTAATAGACGATGATGATGAGCGATTAATAACTGGGAAGTTGCATGCTGAGATTTATCCGGTGTTACAAGAATAATTTCTGAATATATTGAACGGTAGTGGTCAAGGTATGTTAGGCCCCGGGTGTGTGGGAGGGGGGTGTTGATGAGGGGGGGTCTCGTTCATTCGGGGTTGCACGAGGTCAAGGGATCAGCTGTCTGGGTTGTATAAGTGTACACGTATGTTGACCCTCACTCGTGATGAATCTGGGTCACGGGGCCGATGTGGGGTTGACCAACCAAAAGAGAAGAGAATAGGGGGATTCTTGGAGCCCCCCCTATTATCCTCCGATTATCTAATCGAAGAGTAAATGCCGTCCCTACTGTCAGATTTGTTTTCTTCGACACTGGTGTTGTATAGAATATATGCTCGCAATTTTTGTTTTATTTGAATGTTTTTGACGTGTTACTTATAAAACTTATATAAAATATAGAAATTTCAAAAATTCAATTCCAGGTTGAGATATTATAGTTTACCTTTAGTTTATAACAATATTTATTAAATAATTATACCATTTTAATTAAATGTGATTTGTTTTAAAAGTCTATTTAATTCAAATAACCGATTTATTTTTTGAAATTTTAGTTTGTAGATTGCACCTAGTATATTATAAGGTTAAACGACCTTTTTAGTTTCCTGTCAGATTAATTTAAAAAACCAGCTTTGACTCTTTCAGCTTAAAATATGCTAAAATCTTGTTAACTTGTGAAGATTTTGTACATATAGCATATATTTTTTATGTGGTAACAATTAAATGCTTATATGAATGTAGTAATTATAAGAATATACGTTTTTCTCGTGGAAGAGTAAAATTTTTTAAATAGCGTATTTTATGGTTTTTTAGAGGAAACTATAAATAATTCATTATACATATATTATTAACACTAAATTAAAGAAATTCTCATCCGTTTTCATTGATGGAACTGACATATTATTTTTTACATATATACATTAAAGATAATACGATTTGATAGTTCAGTGAACTGTCTAAATTAGAAGTCATCAAGCTTAAAAATTATCTTTGCAATATTTAGAAAACAGTAGTTTGGAAAATAATTTTTTGAAATATTATTGAATTGTTTTCGTTTTTAAGAGAAATTGTCTTTCTTCGAAAAAAGGCATGAACAGAATGGTTTTTTTTAGGCTAGATTAACTATATATATGGAGAGAATTGGTGGTATGTCGTCTTCAGAAACAACGAGTAGATAATTCCTCTACTTTATTATCTGGCTGGCGGAGGCAAAAAAGTAGAAACAGCAATGCACAAGATGCCGAGTGCATGAACGATTCTTCTCGTGAGATACAACGATACCAAAGTTCGCAGCAAGAAACAGCTCTCTCGCTATATGTACGAGAAGGACGCCTTGGGAGCCGCACAAAGATATTAAGTACCCATACATATAGTACTGTCGAAGGAAGTAGGAGGATTGGCGTTGGCGACGGAGAGACGAGGAAGAAAAGGAAAGGAGTGGAGAGTACGAGAGGAAGCGGAGTTACCTATAGAAGAAATAAGTGCGCGCGTGTAATGCTGATGGCGAATATGGTGGAGAGAGGTGCCAGGGGGTGGTAGGCCCCCGCGCGCAAGCGAACGATCGATTCGAACGCCGGCGACATTCTTCGTCGGCGCTCGTAGAGACAGAGAACAGTGAAGAGAGACGAGAGCAGAGAAGAGAAGTCGCGAGGAAAAAGAAGAAATCCCCACTTGGGTCTACCTTCCAGTTGTACTGTCCTCAGTTCTTGTGTCTGTGTCGGTACGTCGTCGGGTTGGCGAGGACAGTGGTGGGGAAGGCAGCAAGCGCTCGTAGGAAGGTTTCAAGGGCGGTTCCAATGAGATTGCCTCGACCAGTACCAGGCATTCTAGTCTCAATCGCTCCGCCAACCGGGTCGACGAGTGCGCGCACAACACGCCCATCCTCCCCGTCCATAGAGCTCCTACTGATGTTTTTATTTATTACATCTGTGACTGGGTAGGGAAATACTCCCAACTCGACCAAGAGAACGTTTGCCACTTTGAGAAGGAACGACGCGCGTCCCTGCGAGTTACCGCCGCAGCCGCCTCCGTCGGCGTTTTGTTCGTTCGGTAGTCGATATTATCGTTCCTTCCTTGCCGCGTAATCAGTGCCAGACGAGATCAGCTCATCGACCTCGTTATCGATGACCCCACTTAATCGGTTGCTCCGCGATGGACCATCGGACCGCGTTTGCCGTAGAATCATGAACAACAAAGAGTGATACCCTCGTGATACATAGTGAAATCGGCGATACAGTTATCCAAGATTTAGTGACAGTGCAATTCGTACATATATAACAGTGAACGTGTTTTGTGATCATAACTTTTTTTGATCCAATCGACTAAAGTCGGTTTTTGTGTTTCTTAGTATGCTTTGAAATTGCATGATAATAATAACAGATTCGAACATAAAGTGATAAATCATAGGAACCTAGAGGACTGTAGACCTGATGGACCACGGAGCAATGGATAGTTCTTCTGAACATAGTAGTCGAGCCAGTCCAGTTACTGGTAGTCCAAAGAATCCACACAGTCCATCTGCTCAGCAGACTCCACAACATCAACTTCACAACTCCCATCAGACACCATCATCACATCAGCAACCTCACCCTAGAGATCAAATTCGTGATCATCATCGTGGTTTGCCAACACCTCGATCTCCAACAAGAGGATCACCACCTCAGAGTTTACCACTGAGTCCTCCGCCCTTATCAGCTGGAGTAGGTCCTGGAGCACCTCCAGGCATGGTACCACGTATGCCCGGGCTTCCGCCGCCCGGATTAGGACTTTTGAGTCAACTTGGTGGTATGTTATCTGGTCATCATGGTTCACCTTTGGAACTTATGGCCGCTCATCATGGTGTCCTTCCACCCAGATCTTACAACAGTCCACCACCAATTAGTTCCAGTGATCCAACTGCAAATGAGTGCCAAATGGTTGAATATCGTGGAAGAAATGTCGCAGCCTTTATCATCAATGGAGATACAATGCTCTGTCTACCACAAGCATTTGACTTTTTTCTTAAGAATCTTGTGGGTGGTCTTCACACAGTGTACACTAAACTCAAGAGACTTGATATCGTGCCATTGGTGTGCAATGTGGAGCAAGTTAGGATCCTTCGTGGTCTCGGCGCTATTCAGCCAGGAGTAAATCGGTGCAAACTGCTTAGCTGCAAGGATTTTGACGTTCTCTACAGGGACTGCACAACTGCCAGGTATGTCAAATTATATTACTTCATTGTTTCTGTAATTAAGAAACGTAATTTTTCTCTTGAAAAATTCCGTGTAAAATTGGTTCCGGAGGAAGTTTTGCACTGGCAGTAGTTCTATATGATCGCAAACTGCAGATGAAAGATCTGTTCGGTTGGTATTGAATATATTATAATAATTAAAGAGCCATATCAAAACTACCTAATGGGCCTTTGATCTTACCAAAATCTGTCGTAAATCGTTATAAATCTCTTATCAGAAAACCAAGGTCTGAACTTCTGGTTGTGAGTCTAAATTTTCAGTAATATAATATTTGCTACTTGAATCTGAATCAGTGAAAACGACTGATGTCAAATCAGTCCAATTCCACTGGTTGGAAACCACTAATTCTGAGTTAAATTACACTGAAAACCATTTCGTATATATATCTACTGGTATTTAGCAACTTTTTTTAGAACTATTAGAATTGCAAGATAATTAATAGAACATTGTTAGGCACATTAATAATTCTAATTCTAGCTAGAGCATAAAGCGTAAGTATTCTTTAAAAACTAATTAACTGGTTGTTAATCAGCACATCCTGATTGTCAGAATGCACCTTAACTTTGAAAATACAAAATAAATTGTTATAAAACTATACTACCACAGCCCTTTGATGTTAAGAATAAATATTACAGGACTACTGTAATTGAAATCCAAATGATTTATCCAATATGTTGGATCCGTTTCTGAATCATTGGTTCAAGTGAGATCAAGATCGTATTGTTGAAACAACGATCGTGACTAGTGTTAAGCAAAGGTTCGTCGTCAGCCTCGTGGCGATCACGCTGCTCCTATATACCGCAAACAATAAGAAGTTACAGAGGGTATAATATCGCTGACATTAGTTGACTTTGGATAATGCCCTCGACAATTCAACAAGACGTCACTGACATTGAATGCAATGCCGAATCGATCATGACCAAAGATAAAGAACTGCAAACATGCATCTTCCTGGTTCGTTGACTTCACATGAAACGGAAGCTCGAATCCTCGCATACATTAATAACACAAGGTGTCGCCTCCGGGCAGCACTTCGTCTTAGCTGGTTTCGCTCTCAAGCTACCAGTGGGCCGAATAATATGCTTTAATTGTACACCACCTTCCGCTTCTTCAAAACTTAATCATCAAGCTTCTCTATCCCCCTCCACTAGCTTTCAAAAAAACCTGACCCACTTAATCTTTCTCACACTAGATCTTTAAAAGTGATAGATCAATATAGAGAGGAATTATATATATTCGTTAGGATTATCTTGATTTTTCTCAAGGTCAAACATAGTATAGATTTCGTCTTGTTTCTTTTATGGAGAAAGTATGTATATTGTTATAGGAATCATCTAAATTATTCCAAAAAGTGATATTCAATAACATTTAAAGAACATTGTGAGTTGTTAAAATTAAGATCCAACAATGATTTTTAAATTTTAATCCATTTGGAATTAAAATAACCCAGTGGGATATTGCCTGCCAATATTGGTCCAAAATATTCAGCCAATATCAGTTTTGCGAATCATTGGCTAAACCTTTGGGATGTAGACACAGTTGGCAATCATAATATGGCTACCAATATTGGTCCATTACACTGAGAAAAGGGTTTGATTTTGACAACAAAACGTTTGGTTTGGTATTTAAGCAACCAAAATTTATTTGTTGGCCTAAACATTTTAATTGTTCAAAACTAAATATTCTACTACCAAAATTATAAAAAGAAATTCTGTTGTATTAAATAAAGTTTAGTTGGGACAGCTAAAATTATGATGGCGCAACAGAAAAATTTTTGGTTTCCAACCAAATGATTTGTTGTCAAAATCAAACCCTTTCTTTAGTGCAATTAGCTTTAGTAAAATAATTAAAATTTGTGATTATTTCTTCAGAAAAATGAGTTTCACTTGATTGTAAATAAAGTTGAATTCATGGCACGTGACTGGTGTTTCTAGAATTGTCACCAGAATCCGGCGCCAACAGGTGTCCCTTTCACGGTTGTTTCTCTGAATGAATCAGCTCCACAGAGAGAGGAAGAGAGAGAGAGAGAGAGAGAGAGAGAATGTGTGTATGTGAGTGAGCTGGTTGTTGTACAAGCTTATCCCACCCACACGCGGGACTACAGACGAAACGGAATTGTAAACGGAATGAGGGGATCTCTCTGCAATTGCCAGTAAAAATATTGTCTTTCTCCCTTCATGTTATTTATTTTCCACTTAATTGTCTCAAAGGGATAAAATTATTTTTACAAATATTCTTATTACATTCACACTATTTAGGTATAGGTAAAAATAAGTTGTTTTCAACTTGAAGCAATAGGGAAAACATTTATCGAAACTTAGGTGCTTTGGACAATAATTTTCCATTAAGCAACGCGCAGTGGCAGTCACAACGGAAACGGATTCAACGCGACATAGTGAGGGAGAGTGAAAGAGATGGAATGAGAGTGAGAAAAGCGTAGGGATAGAGATCCAAATAATCCAGAGTCACGAAATAGAACTCCGCGGGCCGTCGGCTCGTGCGGGTCTCCCTTATTGTCGTGATATAGATGATGAGGAAATATTTTCGTTTACTTTTTATTCGACCGCAAAATCTTTTTGTTGGCGGAAAAAGAAGAGATACAATGGAATTGTATTTTTTTCGACTGTTAAAAAAATTCGTATTTTGTTATATTTAATATGAGTAAAGTTTATCAAGATGTAGAAAATTTTCTTGAAAATGAAAAATTGTTTTTACAATTTTCTGCGTGCGATTTTTTTTCTTGAATGAATGAATTATGAAAACCGATTGTGGCATTAATTAAGAATATTTCTCTCTTCTTTCTGGTAAAACAAATGAATTTTGTTGTGCCGAAACAAAAAATTTGATATTGCTTTATTTGTTATCAAAAATTTTGTTAATACAAGAAAAAAACTTTGGTTGCAGATATATATATTATGTTTTTGTTGTCAACTCAAATCTTTTTTCTCAATTTATATTTGAAAATTGTAAAGTTTTTGTGTATATAGAACTTGTTTTCAAATATATACGCAGTGATAATTATCGATTGGAAAAATGTTTTTGGGCAGGCAATAAAAATTGGATGATGAAGAGGCTGTGGCATGGCCCTCGTGTGCGGTCCGGTCGCGTGTAAACGTTGGCATTGTTACATTCTGATAATGCACGGTGGCATATAGCGTCCGACCATGGTGCGCTTTATATATACTTTGGTTTTACCTACAACTATACTACATGGTGCATCTGCACGTTCTCATTGCTGACCCACCCTGTTTTATATATATATATAGATACTTTTGCAACGATCCGCCGCTAACAGCGTGCAGCCGGAACCACAGCGATAATTCAGAGGATTTTTCTTGCGGTTTAGAACGCGGCGCCGGGTGCTGTACTTGAACAAACTCGAATTCAGAGTATATCGGAACCGCTGTGTCACATGTTTTGCTCTTATTTGAAAAATCACCTCGATTATCGCGACTAAAATTATATATGCGACAAAAAAAAGGCAACAGATAATAATCGGCGACAAGAATTTATTCCACGAGAAATAGGACCTTAAAGAAATTTTATTAGTCATGGAATTCATTTCGAAAAAATGTTTCCTGGAACTCTATATATATTTCAACAATATATTGATTCATCGATCTATTGATTGGCTTGTCATGACCAAGTTTCTTATATATATACGCAAGTTAACTTTCTGAAACTACTTTCGGGATTATAGGTTCCATATTTATATTATAAAGACATTGCGGATATGATTTTCCTCTCCTTAAGGAAAGTTCAAGTTTTCAACATAGAAAATAATAATAATATGAATGAAAAAGCGGAACACAAGCTAATTGACTGTATATATGGAATATCAAGATGTGAATGCAATAAATTAAATAATGTTCAATTGATCTTGAGAGGCTAACATGCACTGCTTTAATTATGCAAATAAAACTACAAGCAACGACTCGCTTGATCTTCAATATATATTCCAGAAATAAATGATATGAACGTTGTTCATATTGCAATATATGTATATACAACTTATTTGAATATTGTATATATCAGAGGAACTAATTGAAAGCCTGTTTAAAATAATAGTTGAGAAAGTGAAATATTGGCACGCACATGATAAGATAATTACATTAAGTAATTGATCATATTGCGTTTGTATTCATTAGTAAGATAATCAAAAATAATCTAATACTTAACAAATTACATTATAAGCAGATTATATTAATAGAAAATAATATCATCAGACATGATTATTTGTAATGGATGTACAAAATATTTTCTGATGATAAAATCCATTTATTATATATATCGTGAATAAATGAATTTTTATTAAAATGCATATCACACATTGAAAAAAAAAATTAATAATTGGATTATTATCGAATAATAATTTATATGTATTGAATAATTATTTATATTAAATTGTTAAATTAAAAAATTATTTCTATTAAATAAATATTTTATTATTATTATTATTTTTTATCTCCGGAGAAAAAATAGTTAGACATGCGCAGAAGTTCCGGACAGTTTAGATTTTACCTTTACAATGTATAGTTAAAGTTAAAATTTTTTTACCATTTAAATCAAATAAATTTTTTTCAATGTACAAGAATTTAGTTTTGAATATTTTAGTTCCTTAATGAATAAAATTACCTTCTTCCCTTTTACTATATTACAAGATCATATTCTTCATAACAATTATGAGATTAAATCTTTCAAAAGATCTAAATACGAAATTTAAAATTCCATCATTAAAATAAATATAGAAAATAAATAAAATTAATAAATACCGTTTATGTATCAAAAAGAGGTATACAATTGTATAAAAAAGGAACCCTTTTTTGTAGCAATAATATATTTATATAATATATCAAAGAAAAAAAAATATATATATCAGAAGATCAATTCTCCCCAATGAATAAAAACGCGGCCAATCAGACCGTAAGTTTCGGCGTGTTCGATAGGATGTAACTACATGCTT